ACAGGGAGCTGGCTCGGGCCTGACTTGGCTGCCCACAGGCTGGTCTCAGACGGGAGCCTAGTGAGCGAGGTCTGGCTGTGACGCCCTCGGCTGAATGGGAGCAGAGCAGACACTCGGCAAGGAGAGGTGTCAAACCTGTGCCTTCACGGACCCCTCCACCTCCCGCTGCCTCCTGCCTGGCCCGGAGCTTCAGGTGGACACAGAGACCTCTGGGCAGACGCCCACGCGGAGTCAATGGGCTGGGGGTCCCCGCCCTTCTGGCACAGGGGCTCCACTTGGCGGCAGGATCAGAGGGAGCCCAGGTGTCTCTGGGGAGGGGACTGGCCGCGGGTAGTGGGCACAAGGCATGAGGCAGGCCGCCGGCAGCCGGGAGAAGCTGGGGTCCCCTCAGCAGGGTCCCTATGCTGTGTCCATTTGTCTGTCCAACGGCAATGAAGTTGGGGGAAAGTCACATTGCCCAGCCACTGGTCCCCATCCGCGCTCACACACAGGTCTCTGCCCTGAGCCTTTGCTGGGTGGTTCCCAGCCCGGGCAGCTGAGGTTGCCATGGAAACCCTCCTCCTCAGGAGCCCCTCTCCCGGGCTTGCCTGCTCCTCCCTCAGGGGACAGCTGGCAGCTCCTGAGACCAGGCAGAAAGCAGCACCTCGAGGGGACCGTTCACTCTGGCTGATTCCTCAGTTGCTCTGGGACAAAGAAAATGGGCCTTTTCCCTAATTTCCAAACCATCCGGCTGGTCCTGTGTGGGGAGGGCAGGACCCTGGGGTCCTGGGCGTCGTTTGCAGGCTCCCCGTGGTGTGGCCCCTACGTCCATCCACAGGCCTCATCATCAACCTAGGTGTGCAGGGGGCCTTTGTGTGGCAAAGCGGAGGTCCTCATGAGGCCCCAGGGAGCCCCCAGGGAGAAGCACCTGATCCTGCACTTTACTTGTGGGGAGCTCTGCCCCCTCAAAGTGCGAATCCCCCAGGGCAGGTGTTCCCCAAAGGAGCACATCCGCCCTAAGGGAGGAAGGAGAGGCGGGGCGGGCCTCCCCCCCAGACGCGGAACCCTAGCGCCTGTGGTCCTGCCCTCCTCGCCACCCCGCCCCCCCCGCCCCCCGCAGGACCGCTCAAAGCGCAGAGCCAGGCAGGTTCAGAAATTAGGGGCGGGGAGCCCCGTGAGCTGGTGAGAAGGGCCGCCCGCCGACCTGCAGTGCCTGGGCGGAGGGCCGGGACCCTGACCCATTGACACGCTTCACGTCCAGCTTCTGGGTGGAGGACAAACTGATCGCCTTACTTTCTTGTTTTCTTTTCTTAAAATTAAATTTACTGAGTGGCATTGGTTAATAAAATCGTATAGGTTTCACGCGTACAACTCGATAATGCGTCATCTGTATGTTGCATCGCGTGTTCACCACCCAAAGTCAAGCCCTCTTCGGTCACCATATATTTGACCCCCTTTACCCTTACCTGCCCCCCTCCCCTGCCTGCGTTTACTTCCCGTCTCTCTGGACGCCCCATTAAAACGAGAGTGAGGGGTGTCTTTGTGTGCGTTTAAGTTAAAACTCACAGAGGCGAAGGCCAGGGAAGGGTACTGGCGGCAGCGGGCGCAGAGGGCACCGCGCCATGGGGCCTGGGGCCACCGTCTCCCTAGGGCCACGTCACCCTGCCCTCTGCCCTGGAGACCGTGGCGGGCTCTCCGCAGGCTGTGGTCACCCTCCAGGAGAGCCCAGACTGGTGATTTAAATGGAAGTGGGACAGGGACAGACTCAGACCCTCCAGCATGGCTGCAGTCTTTGCCCACCCCCCCCAGACTAAGGCTCCATTGTGCGGGTACGCCAATTACTCACGGACCGAGGAAGTGACCACTGGGGGCTCTGTGACCCAGGGGACTGTGAGCTGGAACGTGGACAGAACTCCGTTCATTGCCCCTTTAACAGGGTCTCCGGGGCCCAGGGTCACCCCCACTGCTGAGTCCTGTGGTCCCGAAGATGTGTGGTACCCCGCATCCCCCACTGCGGCTACTGCAGGTCCCTCTGGGGATGGCTGGGGGTGGGGGGCGGATCCACAGCCCCCTCGTCAGAGCAAATTAAGGCTACATGACCGGGAGGCTGAGCCCTGTCGCCCCGATAGATTGCCACCATCTCTGGCTGGTTTCTGGGATCGAGCCAGTTTTGGACTTGGAACCTGTGGCCCGAAGAGGTGGCCTGAAGAGGTGGTCAGGTGGCCAGGAGAGCTGTTTAAAGCTCAGAGACGCATTCCAATCGGCACGATCCCTTTTACCAAAGAAAAAGCACGAACTCGTTCTGATTTCTGGTGCTTTTGGGATCCGAAGTCTTCATTACAGAACTCCAGGCTGAGGCTGGCGCTCCTGGCCCCTCACTGCACAGGCCGGTGTGCCCGCCCAGGGTGGCCCCTGGGCAGAAGAGTGGGCACCCACAAGCGGTTGGGGGCGGGACGCTGGGTCTGCACGGCGGATGTGCTGGGGTCTTCTTTGCTGCCCGGGGCGGGGTGTTCCAGAAACTTCTGTGCAGGATCCAGCCTCCATGCCCACCCCTCGGGTCAGGAGGATGTCTACCTGTTTCTCTGACACCCACAGGCAAAGCAACCTGCACCCCAGGCCTAGCCCTCCCCCGACACCATCCAGCTTCGGGTGCCACATGCTTCCTGGCCATGGTGGCCAAGGAAGGCTGGCCGGTGCACGGAGCGCCAGCACCATGCTGGCCAAGCGTGGGGTCCCCCGCTCCGGATTCTCCAGCCCGGCCAGGGACACAGCCACCTCCACTGTGGTCTTGCTTGGAGGGTCCAGCTGTGGTTCGAGGTAGCCTTGCCTGGCACCCTGCTCTCCTGGGACAGTGTCCAGCTACTGCCCCCACCCTCTGCAGGGGGCGGTCATACCCCTGAGTACTTAGGAAAGCAGGCTGCTCCAAGTCTCTGCGCCCTAAGTCACGTTTCCTGAACACCAAGAGCAGCAGAGGCGCGAGAGGATGCCCCCTGCAGCACCCCTGGGGTGCTGGCTCCTGGCCAGGACGGGGAGAGGGCGCCCCCTGCCGGCGTCGCCCCCACGTGGCCCTGGCGGTGCTGGGAGGGCCCTGGGTTTTGCT